GCGAAAACAGCAAAGGTACGTAAAAACATGATTTCTCATGAATTATTATTTGTTTGAAAACATTCAAAGTCAATTTTTGCTTATAGATGAAACCATTTAAAGTGTGGAATGCGAAGCATTCTAAGAATCTTATTGTTGCGACAAATTCATTGGAAGAACTGACACGTTTAACAATTTGGCATTTTACGTATTTTGATTGGCATAGGGCGAAAATGTAAACAAACATGCTAATTATATACTCTCCCTTCTACTAATAAACAAGATACATTGATGTGGGGTATTTGAACAGGAAGCAAAGAAATAACTGGGGTATTTTGATGAGTTTGACCAGTGCAGGTTTCTGAAATATGGGATGTTTGACAAAATATTTCAACAAAAATTCAAATCCCCTATTGTCGCCCGCCCTCGGGCTTAACATTGATAGATTCATAATCAGTTTGTCCCATACGATTTTTGCACATTTACCAGCACTTTTTTAAACTAGGAATATAAAATATTGCTCAGCGATTCCGATCCCCCATACCTTTTAGCTTTCTTGCATTTAAGCTGATGTGCTGCTTATCCTGATGAAAGTTGAATTTTACAACTACTGGTCGCGCTTTCCCTGATCCTCTTCGTGGTTTCCCCAAACAATGGTCGATTTTATCTTTTCTTGCACCATCTTCCATTTCCATCTTCTCTTCCAAAAGTTTGTGTATGATATCTGTTGCATTTTCTTTTTCGGTCTCTTGTATGTTGAAAAAAAGAAGCTTATCACGCATTGACCTTGCTTTAAGGTCAACAACGTAATTTTTTTTAAAATTTTCTTTCTCAAGCTTGTGGGCATGCGGGCATTACCTGCGAGGAAGGTTTACCATAGGCAAGGTCAGTGAGGAAGTTTTAGTGGTCAACAGTCTCAAAGTGAAACAAATAAATCATAGTTAATAGGCAGTTAAGGCTGACAAGTTGTGGTGATACTATTGTGATATAGTACCTATAACATATGACTATGACATTGGAGAATACTGAGAACACAATAACTGAAAATATTCTGTAAAATTAAAATGTATAAGTGTCAAGCATCAGAGGCGCCTTAAACCATTGCACCGCAAATAACAGGAGGCTATTACTAAGAGCTACTCATCATGGTTACAATAAGAAATTCACCTTGAACATTATTATATTATTCAAAGATTATTTGATTACATGATTCCAATGTTTTTAGAGAATAATTAATAGTTATAAATTAAATGAACCATCATTGCTGTAGCAACTAAATGTTGTAATAATTATAGAAATATGGCCAAGGTGAAATGTTGCAAACTGCCACAAAAATTATAAATAAAGCTGAGGAAGAAATTTTAACATGTGTGATGTGAGTCTGATGAAAATAATATAGCTTGGTTACTGAGGTGTGTAGTTGTTATACATATTTAATACAGATCGACAAAATGTATTGAGGTCCTATAATCGAAATCATTGTTCACATACCTGATACCTACACTGTCAATTCCCACAAACTATAAGATAACCATAAGTATATGGCAGGATTGGCAGTGTCTGTTATAGAGATTATATTGCCATTGCCATTGATTTTCAACCATTCCAAACATTGTCATTGATTATAAACTGCCATGCAGGGCACTATACTGCATGGTTTAAATTTAGCTCTTTCCCAGCTAACACACAACGTAATCACAACGTTGGTAGAAGGTAGTAGGAATGTTAGGTCGGACCTAACTTTATCACGACATTCGTACGTTTTTATGTTCTTGAGAATATAAATTCATCTGACAAACATTGTAGCGACGTTGAAATTCGATGTGCTGCGCATCAAGACGTTCAGCCAACAAGTCTACAACGTCATGTTTTGACGTTAATGCAACGTTATAAAGTAACATTCTGCACAGACATCTGTGCAACATTAGAGTTTAACCGTGGTTCAACGTTACAACATGACATGCCAACAACGTCTGTGCAATGTTATATTTTACGATGATGCAACGTTTCTTTGTGGCGAGCTAAACATACGCTGAAACATTGCAACAACGTTTGTACAACGCTATATTTTACGCATAAAGCAACGTTACAGCATGACATTCTATCAACGTGTGCGCAATGTTAAATTTTTACATTGAAGTAACGTTTCTTTAAGTGACGAAATAAGCGTACGGTGGAACATTCCAGCGGCGTTTTCGCAACGTTAAGCTATGCACGTTTTCAAATATGAGTATTATAAATGTATAACGTTGAATCTATATAATTATATTATTATTCAATTATAGACTAATAATTATAATAATAAAAGAATTATTAGAATTAATACTAAATATTCGACAATAATAATTGTGATATATATATATATATATATATATATATATATATATATATATATAAATATATTATATATATATATATAAATATCACAATTAGCCGATAAATTGGACCTAATAGCTAACTCAATCGCGAAGAAAAATTGATGTGACAAACGCCAACTAGAAAGGGTTGAAAAGAACGTCAGGCTTTCTAGTAATTAATAGCGTCGAGCTCACCCAGAGCTCTGAATGCTATTAATTACTAAAGAGCCTGAGTATGAGGCTGGTCAGGATATATATGAGGGCAATCAGAGGAGGGGGATATAATTTACTGTCTGCATGACGCGTTTGAGTAACATTTTTAATTGTCCAAGCATCACGCCTGTCAAACGTTACATTTTAACGTTGAAGCAACGTTACATCGTCACATCTTTTATCTTTTTACCCCAGGGCATCTCATAACAATTCATACCGCCTGAGCAAAGGTTAGATATTAATGGTAAACCAATCGGAGCAAACCTTGTAGAACGCCGGGCGCTGATTGGCTGAGCTAATGCTGTGCGCAATATGTGTTTTGACTGTTTTCTCGTCTCGCCGTCTCGGGTTTCACTTTACCTCGCCAGTCGTCGACCGCATTTATATTAGTATACTTTCGGACAATCTGGTTTCAGTTTTTTTGCAATTCTTTGCGATATTTGCGAGTTTCATCGTTTTTAATGTGGTAGTTACTGGGGCTAAAACTTGTGTTTATAGTTGATATTACGCTGTGTTTATTACGCGGCGTATATTACACAGTTATACTACATTTAATATTTATATTCTATATGTGCTTCGACCGCATCGAAGATTCAAATATCTATAGTATTCTGAATCTTTGTTTGTTTGCCGTTTTGCGCTCGACAGTCGTAACCAGGTCGTCTTTCTCGTTCACTAGGGGTATGTTTTTGACAGGTTTTTAAAATACATACACGTGTATGATAGTTTATTGTATAAAAGTATTACCATATCTTGCGAGGAAGAAGGACGGCGGTTGTTGCTTTGACTCAAGATCAAAGATGGCCGCCACAAGTCCTTCGCTTAAATTAATTAATAGCCTTATAAAAATATTCAAAAAAGAAAATCTTGATCATGATCTATACAAATTAATTTTAAGTCAGACCTGGAAAATTTAAGTTTGATTTGCTTAATAACAAATTCATACCCAAGCATATACACTTGCATCAGGTAAGACAGTGAGAGTGACCACAATTATTTATGGCAAATTATGCAAAAATATAAATGTTTGACACACAGGAAAATATATTAAAATCGCAACAGACCAAAAAGGAGGGTTTTAAGAAGAAGTAATGGACACTCGAAAATAGAGAAATCAAGTCCAAAAATACAGATGATCTACATCAAACTAGGATTGAAATGGATTGCAATAACAAAAATAGTGAGTATCACATTATATTGTCATTAACATTTACAACTTGTCATATTCTCAAATTTTTCATTATTTTTATTTCATATTCGTGTAACTTCAATTTAAACTTCTATCTCTAAGTTTACAGCTGAAAACGACTGAAACAAAGAGCCTCTCGAACCAGGGTATCTTTTAATAGGACGGTGGAAATATTTACATACCATTGGCTTTTCCCAACCTGGGGACCCCGGCCAATAGTAGGCCTGTGTAAAACTAGTTTATAATGTTACGCTACTTCCCATCCCATAGGATGTACATTATTTTGCAAATTAAGTCCCTGCTCCCATACCTTGTTGTCTCTACAGGCCTGCAAATTAGTGTTAGTAATCAGACATTGTCCGGTCAAATTTTACTTTTTGTCCGATCAAAGTTTTTTATGATCGGACATATGTGACTGACAGATTTAGGCTGGTCAAATCTCCAATCTCAAAAAATTGATTTTGAACACAATTTCATTAATGAAACCAAAGCAATATAAACAACAATCTTTCATTATTTTTTGGCTGCATATTTAAGTCGTAAGATTTAATTACAAATATAAATTTTCTTCTTATAACTCTTATAACATGGTAGAAATTAAGGTTGTGTATGAGGTGAACCATTATTTACTGAAGATGCAGTAGGACTTGTAGATTTATACTCAGTTTTAGATGCACTGCAGTGCAGATAATCATGACCAGCCGAAATACATTGTGCTAATATGAAAAAGACCATGAAAAATTTTCCTTCCTCCATTGTCCGAGAAAACCGATAAATGGCCGACCACTTTTTGTCTTGATCGGACATCTGTCCTTCCAAGCAAAATAATTGTTTGCAAGCTTGTTCTATAATCATATATACATGTAAAAGGAAAGTTTGAAACAATAGAAAACATTGTTTCTAATTAAAGTTGCTTCATTTCCCCTGTTGTTGAGGGAATTGACAGCGTAAAGTTTCAAATTTCCCTTGTGTCTTGGGTAAAAATTACATTCAAAGTCCCTTCAAATTGCCCCTGCCACAGCTCGCAGTCCTGAGGGTGGGGAAAGCTGATGACATACATGAAATACTGTAGCAGGGGTTTATACAGTATACTGTACACTCTATACAGCGATATCTGGTACGTCAAGAGCCAGTACAAATATTCAAGTGCAGGACAGTACATGCAGAGGTAATTTAAATTTTTCTATTGGATTTGCTGAAATGTGTCATATATTGGCGAGATGGCGTGAGCTGATTTGGAGTGCCGTAATGTTTTAACTGAAATGAATCGTGTGTGTGTTACAGGAGGTACTGTACAGGGGCCGGTTGTGTGAAGGCCAGATAGTGCCATCCACCGGATAGTGATTTTTTCAAGCTTTGTTAAATCAGTCGTTGATTGGTTTTACTTGTATTAAAGTTTAGAACTTATAAGTGAAATGTTTTTTCTACTTCTTGTCTCGCTTATATCCGTTTTCACAGTTTTTCAAGCATTGTACAAATTTTGAAAAATCACTATCAGGTGGATAGCGCTATCCGACCTTTATACAACCGGCCCCAGGTATCTAACTTTAATCGAGTCTTATTTGTTCATTTTGTTTTCGATTTATTGTCAGGTTCAAGTCCCAACATAACTGGTCAGGATCAAACTCCAAGAGTTATCAAGCGAAATCTTTCCAGACAGGAGCAACCTGACAGTATGTGCTCATATTTTATTATGTTAATTTAAACAAAGTTATTGTTACTGAGCACATGTACCTTGATCTGTTTGGGTAAATAAATTAGGCTTATTTGCATCAATACAATAAGTCAAGAGGAAATGCAAGTCAATGATAGTTAATAATTTTTTCTGTGTTGGTGTAATGCACTCAGGTGAATATAATGCTTGTGATGTTACTCTGAGTGTATATCCACACCGGGCAGGCTTGATATACACTCAGAGTAACATCACATGCATCATATTCACCTGATGGTATGATGGTATATTTTCAGACAAAATGTGAACACCATGAGTGCTTCAACTTTGTGATATCCCAAAGTTACTGAATATGATAAGCAAGCTGACGGCCTGTAGAGTTGGGTACTGTAGGTTGTAGAGGGATTTCGTGTGAATTGAGTGGGATCTGAAAATTTGCTAACAGTTTTCAGATCGATGTAATTTCCAGTTTGCTTGAGAATCCTGGTTTTAAGTGTATATACAACTTACAGTATAAGGTAAAAAACTAAATGAAAAGGTAAGATATGCGACACTACAGTCCAAAGGTTCTGTTTGAGTACCGTACAAATATTAAGAAAAACAAAAGTTTGCTGTTTGCTTGAATATGTGATTGTTTACTTATGTATTTATTTCAAACGACCGCTAGGCTTTCAACGATCTGTCCTTGCAAAACTTGACATAATGATAGAAAAGCAAAGTGAAGCCTTATCAATATTGCAAGTCCTTCTCGGTGCCACGAAAGGTGTGAGTGGTCAGGATATGCTGGATGATGTTCTTCCCAAGCCTATTGATTCTCCCGAAGAATTAGAAGAGATGTCTGCAGGCCTTTCTGACGAAGACGTTAGAAAAAAAAGGTACATATACTCCTATTAATTTTGATTATTGCTTTTCAACAATGTCAATGTTGTGGCAATTGTTAAGAGATCTGACCACGCAACGAGAGACCCTAAATCTGAGTGTTTGGTGCATTTCGTTGACGTGTAACAAGTTGTATTCTGAAGTGTTCAACCGGGATCATTGTGGGAAATTTAACTTACATGTAGATGTACTGTAGGTCCATCGCAGGAATGGAACCTACGCCCCCGCGATTCCGGTACAATACCACTAAGCTACAGAATAGTTGCTGTATGGCATGAAGATCTTGTATACATGTGCAGCAACCTCGTACCTAGAGTCTTTCCTTTTGGGGAGAAAAGACCCTGGTAGATGTTTGTCACGTTATCTGCTAAAATCTACCAGATTACTGATTAACTAAATAACAAATTAAACTATAAAAATCATCCAAATATCAAATATTTATTGACCTCATCTTGTGACCAGCGTCTATCAGGGTATTTTCTCTCCTCGCCAAGAGGAAAGACCCTGGGTACGAGGCTGTATGTGCAGATGCGAGTTGTGAAAAGGTAAATTAAGCATGTTTTATACGTCGAATTTCGGTTGCGTCGAATGCAATTCAAACAATAGATAACGAAGCTTATGAGGTTTATCATCTCATTATCTTGTTGTCTTAATTGCATTCGACGCGACCAAACGAACTTGGCCTTAAATGAGTGTTTGGTGCATTTCTTCGTCGTGTAACGAGTAGTATTCGAAGGTGGTTGGTATTTGTCGAGGGTAATGTTATATACAGTATATAAATTTTTTATGGACCTAACCGGAAACATTGCGAAAATACAACATAGGTGTTCCATGTTAAAAACATTGTTTATAATAATATCATCCTGGACAAATACCAACCACCTCAGACACATCAAGGAAATGCACCAAAAACTCATGTAGTTTACTTTTTGAGGCATATACAGTAGCCTATCCCTCAAATCAGTGATATTAATTTGTTCTCATTTATCTACTTTTGTAGTTACATTTCTTGGTTGCCTTATGTGGACACAGCTGTCCCGAAAGCATACGGCGAATTCTGGCCAAAATTGGGACCAATAAACTTTGGTCGGACTATAGCCTGAAGGGGAGAAAAGCCAAGCGGTCTTTCAAAAATCTTGCAGTCTGCACGATCGTGATTAGTAAGTGTATTATTTATATATATTTTTCTATATACTGATTATTTAGAGCATGATCAAACGTGATGCGAAAATAGTGGCCATCGATCCAACAATCAACATTGATAGCATGCATCAAGAGAATGTCAGTAAAAAATTATGAACGTTTATAGTCCTCTTTTACTAATTTATGTCCCAGATTGTCCAAATCTGTAAGAATAAAATGAATAGTTTACTTTTATATTAACGCTTGTTTTTCGCCTAAATAAATTATTCCGTAGAGTTTAGTACCCCCATTTTATTACATATACTTTATTCTTAATAATAGTGACGTAAAATTAGTTGACTGCATCTTCAACGACTAACTTTGGTGGCCAACAGGCATGTCAAATCGCCCTTTTTGGTTAAGGCTTTATATGCGCCAGTGTAGACAAACTTTCTGAATAAATAAACATGGTTAAAACAAGGACATTATACAAGCGTAAACTCTGTTCAGTTTTCGCTCAAAATTGTGGCAAAAATAGTTTTTGACTTCAAATTCAAAACTTCTGTTCTTCCCTCCCAACTATTACTGTTTCCCAACGTGTAATCTTGCTGGCGAAGAATTAATTATTTGCCAGTTTGTTGTTTCACTCACATATTAACCCATCGTATTTTCATTTTTGGATATAGTGTTATTAGTGTATAAAGTATAGTATATGTACAGTATATCGACATATCTTGCACGGCATTAGCAATTCGGCACAATCGGGTGCCAATATTTGCCAATCATATGCATGCATTAATTGCGATAATAAACTGGTAGTAGTGCTTGCGCTTGTCGCGTTATACCATAACTACAGTATATTATATTAATGCTCAAACGATTCATTTTAGAGGCCTGCCTCAGAGTTCATAAAGGCATTGGGGAATTGGACGTCGAGGAGCAAATAGCCGAATATTTGAAACATGCTCCGAACAAGGCTGGTGGCTCCAGATATAAGGTATACTGTATATATTTTTACATTGTAGTCAATGCACTATATATACAGGCATTTGTATATATCAACCTACAGATAATTAAGTTATCTGCTACAGAAAATTGAGTTATCTGCTACATATTATTCAGTTATCTGCTATACATATAATTACTCAGTTATTTGTAGGTTGAGCCAGCGGCTCGTAATTTTATAGCAAGCGGTACGTTAACATGACACTTGAATAAAAACAAGTAAAATTAACATGAACGAACGACGTTTTTGGGAATATTTTTTTGCAAAAAGCAAAACGACATATTTATGCAAAAAGCAAGTGACATATTTATCCGAATTTTAGCAAGTAAATGTGTTTCCATTAGTTTTGTTTCGTTACTGTAGTATTCTAAATCATTGCACTGCTTTTTTATAAGAACCAAACGCTATTTTTTTCTGCAACCAAGCATTGTACGTCGAAGGAGATAAATGAAAATGCAATATGTATAATTGTAGTGTTTTTCGTTTGCAGGATCGTAAAAACGAGTGATCAAGTGACTGCTGAATTGATTGCGTTGCAATATCATGTCAATACAGTACATCAAGAACATACTATATATATATATTTGAATATTTTTAGAAGATTTTTGTAGTTGAATAATAAACGAATATGCATTCATTCAATTCTTCTCATTTACTTACTTAATTTTTAAAGTTATAATGTAAATGTTAGTTCGACCTTCCTGGAACATACGTTTTGGTAATATTTAAGTCATTTATTTTATGAAATATCAAAGCACGATTCGCATGAATCAATCGTACTATGACTTTGGTATTTTAGAAAATATAAACGGCTTAAGCTAGTAGATTTAAGTAGATGACCAAAACGTACGTTCCAGAAACGTCTATACAGCTTGTTGTTGAAGCATAATCGCAACGTTATTCCTAACGTTTATATTACGTTTTTCGGAGTTCACAAAATAACTTTCCAACAACGTTAAACGTCCAACGTTGTATATACATTGCTGGTCTAACGTTGCAGCACAACGTTAAGCCAACGTAAAGTCGCAACGTTATACTATTAACGTTGTCTGCATGTTGTTCGTGGGACGTTGCTTGAACGTTGTGGGAACGTAAAACGCTACGTAATACCCAACGTTGGTGCTACGTTTTTAGGAGTTCACAAAAAAACGTTACCACAACCAAAAATTATAACGTAGTCCGGACGTTCGACGAACGTTCAGATAACGTTGCGACAACGTGATTGTGTTAGCTGGGTATTCTGTCTCAGATAAGACTGTCAATTAAGGTACCAAATTCGCAATGTTTGGCTTTGTTTTTCGGATCGGTAGCAAAAGCATCGATTTTTCAGTGACCTTGTGAAAAATTGGTGGTGTATAAAAGTTAAACTATTTCGTGGTTCACAGTAGTTCACAGTACTATTTGAATTTGTCTTTCAATATATCTATTTTTTGTTTGTCCCCATTCTTGGCAAAGTCGAAGGCGTTAAATATAGCACGAGCTTCTTCTCCAGCTATGTGTAGAAACGTGGCACACTGAACTTTCTCGCTTTTTTCACTGATTTCACCAGTGATGAGGAAGAGTTTGAAGTTTAATAAAACCTATTTAATCCCACTCCTGACACCAAAACCAGAACCCTAATCAGAATAGAGTATTGCCTTTTAAATTTACTTTGTTTTATAGCTTTATTTTCTGCTTTAGACAGTTTATTGTGTGAAAGGAATAGTGTATTGCATGAAACGTATAGTCCCAAATTAAGAGACGTTGCCAGAGAGCTTTGTAAGTAAGTAATAATACACCACTTAATTTGATAAATTGAAGTTTACATAAATTGAACATATATTCAACGTTTAATTTGTTGTAATATCTACAGTCATAATTGAAATGGTTTTTAGTGATATTGTCGAAAGCTCGGTTTTAAAACATTGTTAAGTTACAATTTGTAACTATATATTTAGTGTATTATATACAACCGATTACCGGTATAACATATGTATTAAGCTAAAAGTATTACCATATTTAGTTGTTTTGACAAATGTGCCTGTCACATAGTTGACATACTAATCTTTTCTTTTTATTCATCAGTTTGGAAATAAAATTTTGAATATACAATAGCAATAAAAAAACATTAGTTAAGAACTTTCCTTTGTGAACAATTTGTTATGACATTTATTAAGTCTAAAGTTTGTTCGTTCACTGCAACCAGGTATATCAATCATGTTTCACTCGCTACTCTGGTTTAAATATATGATTACAAAGCCCAGTTGAATTGTAGTCAAGACCACATACTTTGTGTTTGAGGGCTGTTATTATCAACAGGTAATAAAAAACCCATTAGTTAAGAACTTTCCTTCATGAACAATTTGTTATGACATTTATTAAGTCTAAAGTTTGTTCGTTCACTGCAACCAGGTATATCAATCATGTTTTGCTCGCTACTCTGCTTTAAATGAATGATTACAAAGCCCAGTCGAATTGTAATCAACACCATATACTTTGTGTTTGAGAGCTGTTATTATCAACAGGTTTTTGTAACAGCAATGTGGTCACCAAGTATCGGCAGTAATTGCTAATTTAGTAATGGAAGATGTCGAACAAAGAGCTTTAGCTTCTGTTCTGGTATCTCTATCGTTTTGGAAACGTTTCGTCGATGATGTCATCTCTATGGTTTCTAGAAATGAAATCGATATACACTTACCTTTTTTAGACTTGAATGTGCACAGAAGTTAGAGACTGATATTTATCGCAATCCCACACACACAGACAAATATTTGTCATATGATTCTCATCACCCAGTAAGCCATAAAAGATTAATAAAACTTTGCTTCAAAGAGCTGAATCCTTGCCTTCAAAGAGTGATTCTCAAGCTAATGAACGTGAATATTTTCTAAATGTTTTAGGGGGAAACAATTACCCAAAACGTTTTCTTAATGATTGCCTGAGATCACCTGTTTGTAGGAACAAAAATAACTCAGAGGGTGTTACCTCTGGTTGTCACAGAACCAATCAAGAGAATATTAAGTAATTGTAATGTTAAGGTTACTGAAAATAGGTCACTTTCTTGTAAACATCTACGGTAGGTTCTTATACGATGGGTTCTTATACGATGGGTTCTTATACGATGGGTTTTCCTGTATGTTAGCTTAGTCATTAATTTATTAAAATATTTTATCGTCCTCCCATTTCAAATCTTCCTTATTGCATGGTATACACATTTGGCAGTGGGATTCTTGTTTTTCCGATTACACCTTGTAAACTTTCTGTATGCCACACTATGTAAAAATCTAGAAGAAATGAAGTAATGGTATGTAGACAAATGCAAAAACTATTTCAATAAAATAGTATTTTATATTATTCATCTTTTGTGAGAGGGAATTTCTTCCTTATTATATGGTATGCACATGCGGCAGTGGGATTCTTGTTTTTCGATTACACCTTGTAAACTTTCTGTATGCCACACTATGTAAAAACCTAGAAGAAATGAAGTAATGGTATGTAGACAAATGCAAAAACTTTCAATAAAATAGTATTTTATATTACAAAGAACAACCCAATCTATATTGGCTATATATAGGAACTATACATACATATAGTTTCTGATTTTGGTTACACAAACATTTTTGAGATGTTGATGTGTATGGGAGACACTGGTCATGGAACAGTGTGCACCCCCATAAATACATCCCTGAAAGAGGAAAAAGCTGTATATGTTGAACAATCTGTTTAGTCGTTTACACAAATTTTAGAAACAATGGACCTTACCATTTATTCACTTTTGACCCAATGACCTATTTTAGCATGGCAGGCACACATGAAGGATAAATCTTCATTGTTTCCTGCATGAGTTTGTCTCTTGTAGATCTCAAGTCCAACCACAAGCTTATTCTTTACTCTCTTATGCACAAAACATGAGTTTTAATATCACATGAAAAAAAGGCCATTGGGTCAAAAGTAAATAAACGGTAAGGTCTATTGAGTTTCAATATAGCTAGGGAACTCTCCCATTAATGTTTAGTAACATTGTCTGGTTTTTTAGACAGAGTAAGATAAATATGAGCACATTATTGAGACACAGTGCAGCTTCCAACATTCCTCTCAATGGTCTATCATTATCTAAGTGAAATACGAAAAAAATGGTGTTCTGTAAGTTTACTCTGCCTAACACTGCTGATTAGGGAAAGTCCATGAACATATAGTTCCGCATGTTCCTTTGTCAAATAAAATTGCCTGGTGTTAGAGGGATTTGTAGGTAGGGTGCATAGCAGCTTATTATTAAATGGTTAAGGTAGCATCATTCCAGCTCACAACAGCAATATTGCATTCTTGCTAATTGCTCAAAAACTCCAGGCTACAATTTTCACATTTGCACCTAATATAAATTAAGTAATATTGACAACATGAGTGGCCTGCGCTTGGGTTGATGATCCTTTCACTGATGAGGAGTGGACAGAACAATATGAAGAAAACATGAGGGTGAAAAAGATCATTAAAGACGAGACGTTGAAGCGTTTGCATGAAACTACAGAACTTAATGAGTCATAAGTCACAAATTTTGTTTATACCAATACCAATAATACTATACAGTATTAGACTATACTATACTATTATAATAAACATATTTATGTTAAAGATTATTTCATGGCAAGGCATCATCATTGCTTGAAACCAGATATATCGGCTTCTATCCCTGACATTTCGTCATATTCTGATAAATAATCATTCTCTGATGCAAACGAAGAAGCCTTGATGCATCCGTTGAAGACATTGCAAAAAGATATAAAAAACCGTGAAGTATTGCTTCAAAATTAAAGCTTCTTTGTATAGTGAAGTATAGTGTTTACAAGGAGGCTTCACATGAGTTCACCTATTATTGACTCAGGTGCAACTCAACACATGACTTTAGAAAGAAATCGTCTGTCCAACTATGTGGAATTCAAGGAACCATGTAGTGTGTACCTCAGTGATCCTCATTGATAATAGATGAATCCTTGCATATGGAAAGGGAACCTATCATGTGAAAGCTGTTGTGGATGACCACATTCAACACATAGAATTGCAAGAAGTATTGTACCTGCCAGAGTTAGTTAAGAACTTGCTGTCAAGTCCATGCAATGGTGAAACATGATGAATTCGAAGATTTTAGCTGTGGGAGAGATCCAAGGAAACTTTTTTGTCTTGAATATTGTGAAAGAGCATGTGAGCATTGCCAAACAACAACCTGATACAGATCAGTATTTGTGGCACTGTAGACTTGGCCATCCGGGAAGGAGTCAACTAAATGATTTTCAAATCGAAGAGTTTTTCAGCACATTATTAAATTTTGCAATTCATGCGGCACAGATGAAGGTATCATCGAGTTTTCGGATGAAATTTTTTTAGATTTTTTATCTCTTGAGCATCGTAAACACACATAAGGTGATCTTGGTTTGGATTTCAAAGGCCATGGCTCCCGACATACTGTACATTGACTGACAATGTATTGCATGGTGGTATGAAACTTATTTATGTTAGCATATTTGCCCAACATTG